CACACATGCATTTACACAAATTGATACAGACACAAAATAATAGACAAGTGCACTCACATTCATCCTCACTCACAATTAGCAGAATCAATCATGCTCATAGTCACACGCACAGACACACACACACGAATTATTTCATCCAAGATGTTTATGTAGTTACGGATACATTCTGTTTTGTTCAAAAAAAAACCTGACTCTGGTTTAAAACACAGACAGATTCGAAGCAAGACCCCACACCTAAAATGCATTGCTGGACTTGAGATGTCACCTCTTGTATACATTGATAAAACCTTTAATTATCTCTGACAATGTCTTGAAAGGAATCTGGATTTTGCATTTCAATCAGTAGTCTCCTTCCTAACTGATTAAGGAGTCAACAAGAGGCAGCCAGTTTTGGGGTTGTTACCTTTCTGCTTATACATTCTGTGTCTTATAACCTCTCCCTCACACTACACTGGAGGAAGGAGTTGAACTCTGAATGCTTGCATTTTCAAATAAACCTGTTGGACTATAACCTGGTGTATTGTGATTTTTGACCCTGTATAGCTGGAGCATACCTGTCTACTTTTAACTTTTATATTCCCTTGTAATAATTGCTAACTTTAAAAAAAATTTGTTCACAGGATGTGGGCGTCACTGGCTGGGCAAGCATTTAGTGCCCATCCCTAATTGCTCAGGGACAGTTAAGAGCTAACCACATTGTTTTGGGTCTTCCAGACCTGGCAAGAATAGCACATTTCCTTCCCTAAGGGACTGGGTTTTTAAAACAATCATGTGGTTGTCATTAGGCTTTCATTTGAGTCCAGCTTTTTATTAAATTCAAATTTCACCATCTGCCATGACGTGATTCAAACTCATGTTCCCAGAACATTAGCCTGGAGTTTGGGATTACGAGGCCACTGACATTACCAATAATGGTAATGCTACTGCCTCACCCATTCTATTAGCTTTCCTAATTACTGTATCCATTGGAGGCTCTGGTTCCCGAGATATGTGCTGCAGAGAAGGTATTTCTATTGCCCAGCATTTGAAACCTTACTCCATGTAGCACAAGAATGTAACAGGGATGAAAAGTTATCCAAATAGCAGGCTTGGATTCAGAGAACATGCAGCTTTTCTTGCACTGCAATCTTCTTTTCCATTGCAATCCATTGATTTGCTACATGCCTGATTTAGAATGCTAACATTGACCAATTTCATATGCCACATCTACAGTTTGCTCCCTCCAATTTTCACATCATCTGTCAATCACAGGGGAGATGTTCACAGTCCAGAACTGTCCAGTATTCCCAGCTGAGACTGGTGGGTTCCAGAATATGCCTCCCACTGGCAAGTTTCTGAGTAAAATTAAAACAAGGAAAAAAATATCCAACACCATGATCATTAACAAAATATAATGCTTGCATATGTTACACACAGCACCTACCAGACTTTGGCGACTTCTGCATTATATGCATATGGTCAGGGGGATGTTTCATCTGTAGCAGAATCTGTCATCCTCTGTTCTAGCTCTGACTCTGGGATAGTTTGGCAACCTGAAAACAAATATCAATAGTTGCTAAAGTTCTGTGAAGATTCTCATTTTCTAAGTTTGGCCTGTGTGATAGAAGGGAAACAATACCAGCACAGGTGAAACTGAAACAGCATGATCATTGCTTGTGCTCCTGTTAAAAATCAAACTACTACAAATAATAACAATTCAGTCACCAACTTCACTGTTTACTAGCCCCTGTTTTTAATCACCATTGAAAGTTGAGTGTAATAAAGGTAAAGTTGACATAGTCCCATTCTCTCATTACAGAGAGGGGTGACTGGTGGTGGTTTAACCTGAGGGTCACCATGCCTCAGGTAAGGGGAGATGTTGAGAAGGAGAGTCCTTCACGGTAACCTCAGCCAGTGCAGGAATTAAACCAAGCTGTTAGTATCACCATACATCACTGAGCTAACTAAACCCCAACTGGACTAAACATGGAATTCTAATTGAGTGTAATAGCACTGTTGAGGTACGACATGAGGCAGGATGCTTATAGTAATTGGGAAAGCACACTTGTGGTAGTGTCCCTACCTTTAAGCTAGAAGGCCTAGGTTCGAGTCCCACTTACGCTGGAGAAACATAATAACGTTTCTGAATAGGTTGATTGGTAAATATCTAGCTTTGAACTCCAAATTTTACAAAAAAACAAGTAACTAATACCAGTTAGTGACAACAACTTGTGTTTATTTATATACAGCCACTAAAGCAAAGTTCAAAGATGCTTCACAAATGCAAAGTAAAAAGAAAAACATGTCACTAAGTCACATAAGGAAATATGGGACAAGGTGCAGAGCTGGATGAACACAGCAGGCCAAGCAGCATCATAGGAGCAGAAAGGCTGACATTTCGGGCCTAGACCCTTCATCAGAAATGGTTGTCTCGGATTCTCCAGCATCTGCAGTTCCTACTATCTCTAAGGAAATATGGGGCTGAATCCTACATTTTTCAGATAAGTCCATGTGGTGCCAACACGTTGAAGGGAATTTTTGCCTTGAGGCTGAGCAAGTCCTCTTGCCTTAACATACCAAACCCGCCACTTTAATTTCCTACACTACCCCTACGGCACCTTTCATATCTGAATTCTACCTCATCTTACCCCATGGCCTTCCTGGTACAACTCACTACTTAGTGGATATTTTGGAATTCACCAGCATCCCTTTTTAAAACCACACCATCTTGGAAAGCTCATTAAGCACCCCAGTAAGCACTGTCAATCTGGAGCTTCCCAGCATGGTTCCTCACACTTACCCTTTGGGGTGGTGATGGCCCAGTGGTATTATCACTGGATCATTAATCCAGAGGCCCAGATAATGTTCGGGGGGATCGGAGTTTTAATCACGTCAGATGGTGAAATTTTGATTCAATAATAGTTGTCTAACGATGACCATGAATCCAATGACGATTTTTAGGAAAGAACCCGTTTGGTTCACTATTGCCCTTTAGGGAAGCAAATTGCCATCCTTACCTGGTCTGGCCTACATGTGACTCTAGACCCACAGCAATGTGGTCAACTCTTAACTGCCCTCTGGACAGTTAGGGTTGGGCAATGAATGCTGACCTAGCCAACAATGCCCTTATCCTGTGAATGAATAAAAAAAATGACAGAGAAGAAATTTGGTGCCCTGCTTTGCAGACAAAGGTCCTGCTGGATGGGTGGTGCTGATGTGGGACTTCCTCCACCCCAAGGATCATGGAGACCATGCCAGCCTGGTCCAAGATTGTTACCTGGGTTAAATTCTCAGTCTCAGCTGTCTAGAGAATGCACAGATCTGGAAGAAGAAGGTCAAAAGGTCAATGCCCTTCTCCACTCTGCTAGGGTATGTTCCACCATTTTTGCCCTGATACCTTGCATTCACTCTCTGCCCCCAACTCCCACCAAGGCTCATGATCTACCACTCTCACTACTGCCTGCAACATCTTCCCCATGGGTTCTTACCCACCCCAATCCTCGACACCACTGACCCTCGTGCACTCTGCACTGCTGACTCACTTGTTTGATACACCTCCTCACCTGCACCAACAAGAATAGCAGTGCCACACATTCATCTCCCATAAAACCTGCCTCTCTCTCATTCTATGAAAAAAACAGCCTAGAGTAGGTCAGAAAGAGTCCAGACTGGTAGTGGACTACCAATCATTTGGCTCCTCACACCTTATGAGGAGAAGATTCTGACTCTGTCCGTTCTGATCAGGACTAGTGTCTGAGGCTGTGTTTGATCAGTGAACCTCTGAGTGAAGCTATCCCCCTTGACTTGACTAGACCTGCTGACAACCATGACAAACTTCTTGGCTTTGTGTTTGCACTAAATGGTGTGGCAAGACAGTACTAATATAAAATAAAAACAGAAAATGCTGGAGAAACTCAGCAGTATCTGTGGAGAGAAAAACAGATTTAATGTTTCAAATTCAATTTGACTTCTTCAGAACTCTGATTCTGAGCAATGAGCAGAGATTATAAAGTTAGAAAATATTTTTTAAGAAGAGTTTGATGGTCCTCAAGGATATATGTTTCAATGCAAGTAGTATAGAAAATAAAGCAATAGGGTGAATTCACGGATAGAAACCTTATAAGTTGATATCAAAACTTCACAGAAAAATGGCTTAAAGAGAGACAGGTACGGCAGCCCAATGTTTCTGCCTACAGGCATGATAGAGAGGGGGATAAAAAGGAGTGTGAGTGGCAACCCTGGTTGAAGAAACTTCTCACAACTGTGAGAAGGGTGATATGTTTAAAGAATCAACAAATTAGGTTATATGAGTTAAGGAATAAATAAGGGTCAGTCACAATTCTGAGAGTGTATTAGAGACCCCCAAACAATTAGATATAGAGAGCAAATGTGTAGATAGATCTCTGAAAAGTACAAAAACAATAGGACAGTAATTGTTGGGGAATTTATCTAGCCCAATATATTTTGGGAAGTTATTTTGTGTGGAAAAATCAGGGAAAAGAACTCTTGAAGAGCAATCAGGGGAAAATCTTTGGCCAGTATGTATCAAACCCAATGAGAGGGTGTGGTTGTGGATTTAGTTTTAAGAAATTATGCTGGAAAGGTTGAAGGAGTGGTAGTGGGCAGCGTTCTGTTGGAAGTGATCAGTTATATTTCAGTTAGTTTAACGTAATTATGGAAAAGGGCAAAGATGGAGGAGGAGATAATGTTCTAAATTGGGTTAAGGCCAATTAACCAATTTTAATAAAGCTGTGGAGTGATTCAGCAGAAGCGAACTGAAACGAGCAACTTTTAAGATAAATCAGTTTTAGAACAGAGAAAGGTATTCAAAGGTGATATTCAAGGGGTTCAGAATAAAGTTTTACCCACATACAAAAGGGCAGGCAGCCACACCTGTAGCGCTCTGGATGTCAAGAAGCGTACAGGGTAAGAGAAGACAAGAAAAGAAATTTTATATCAGACAATACATACTGCAGAATGCTGAGCTGAGTACAGAAAGTGCAGGGTTGAAATCAACAAGGAAATTAGGAAAGCAAAGATTGTTGGTGAGTAGAGTCAAAGAAAATTCAATGCTGTTTTTTCAAGTAAGAGTAAGAGGATACCTAAGGAAGAGTAGGGCCCCTAAAATACCAAAAAGGTAACCTATGTGTAGAGGCTAAGTTATGGATATAGTTCTTCATGAATTCTTTGTTGACATATCACCAGGGCCAAATGAAACAAATCCCAGTCTGTCAAAAGAAACCAAGGAGGAAATAGCAAATGTTCTGAAGACAATTTTCCAATCATCTTGAACCTGGGCATGGTACTGGATGATTAAAAAATTGCTAACATTGCAACCTCAATCACAGAGTTCTGAGGGACAAGATAGCCACTTTGAAAGCATGGAGTAGTCCAGGACAGTCAGCATGGATTTGCTGAGGGACAATTATGTCTGATGGGCAAGATTTAAATTTTTGAGGAGGGAACAAAGAAGACAGCAGCACAGTTGATGTAGTCTATGTGGACTTTATCAAGACTTTTGACTAGGTCCACATGGCAGACTGGTTAGAAACAAGCCCATGGGATCCAGAGGCATGTAGCGAGCTGGATAAAAAGTTGACTCAGTGACCAGAAAAAAAGTTCAAATATTTGATGTGTGTTTTTGTGACTGGGACGGGGGGGAAAATGTCCATATGGCTCAGCACTAGGTCCCCTGCATTTACAGTTTTTACTGATGATAATAGAAGGGACATGATCGTAAAATTATAGACAACTCAAAAATTGACCACATGGTTGATAGTAAAGAGGAAAGTTAGCGTCTGTAAGAAAACATCAATGGGCTGGTTAGGTGGGTGGAAAAGTAACGATTGAAACTGAGAGTTATTTATTAAGACTGTGATTGGTGAGATTCATCCAAAGAAGTCTCAGAAAAAAAAATGGGAACCCTCCACTTTACTCACAAAATGCAGGAGTGCTCCATTTTATTCACAGAAGGTGGGAACCCCCCATTTTGACTTCTGAAAAACAGGAAGCTCCAAATGCTGCTGTACACAGTAGCTGCATCCTTATACTGCAGAATTAAAAGCCTTTGAAGCAAGGAAAATAAATAATCACATTTTGAAGACTTGGGCAGCAGAAATAACATTGCCAGGAAGATGGGATAGTTAAAACCCAGAGCTCTACACCGTGGAGAAAACAACTAAGATACAGAATTACTTCCAACCCTGATACCAATTCAGAAGCTGATGAAGTAAGTACACTTTTAAATTAGCAATATAGTTGATAGAGGTATAGCTCATTAAAGTATAAAAGACATAACAGACACTTTTGATAAAGTTCTGCAAATCTTTGATAATTATTTAACCTCAAAACAAATAAAATTCTTGAAAGAACAAGATTGAATACAAGAGTTCAGCATTCAGGGGAATTCATGCACAAGTTCATCAATAACCTCTTCAGATTACTGGGGAAATGTGACTACAGTGATTTAAAGTCAGAATTCACAAGAGACCGAATTGTTGCTTGAATTGCTAATGAGTCTTAATCAGAGTTATTGCAGTCAGCTAGACAGGCC